GCTGACGCCGTATTCATGCAAAGGGTAACTTCGGCCGATTTCTGTTCAGCTGATTTGCATTTTATTTGTAAAAACTAAATACTATAAATTTAAAAGGTATGAATTTAAGTGCAAATTTAAACATAGTTGATAAATTTCACGCCAGTAATATCCACTGTGTCTTTCTGTATATACAAGATATTTTCAGAGGTGATAAACTGATAATTCCCAGCAATGGTTTAAAAATACTCGTCCGTAATTTTTCGGGCGATAAAGTTTCTTCTTGGATGTAATTTTCCAGTGAAGAAATAAATTTCGCCTATTATTATCGACATTGATTTGTATATGAAAAATGCATTTTCTTTCTGCATAAAATAGATGTGTGTACACTATAATGGGTTATAAACAAATTATTTTAAGGTATTTATGAACGGTCGAAATTAACCAGGTGGGCGAAGTTACACTGTGATCATCCTAACCTATATCCTGACGTTAAAAAAAGTCTTGTATCTATGTAAGTAAATTACTGCATAGTTACACCATTTGATAAATAAATACATCAATCAGTGGATAGGTTTGTAACGTAGACCGTCTGATTTTAAATTCATTTATTTACCTCACTCGGCACACCTCGGCCGATTCGTACCTCATCTGGATGAAGGTGACGGAATCAGCCGAGGTTTGCCGAATGTTATCTACCTTCGACCAGCCTTTAAGGTATCCGACCCTTATTAGGACCTAATTTTCTAACCTTAATTATCCATCCTGTATTAAATACTTTATTAATTCAAAGCATTTTAGAGTAGTAAAGGATTTACCCAGAGAAATTTTCAAAAATATAATTACCTAAGCAGTAATTAATTAATGAAGATTGCATTGATGTTTATGGGGACACGCAAATTTTTGAAAATAAAAATTTAAATACTAAGCATATCCAAAAATGCTGTGGTGGAAAGATGTATTCAATTACAAGGAATAGAAAAGCGATTGAAAACTAAAGTTTTACGAGATAGATTTCTTTAGAATTGATTTTTATTAATAAAAAGCAAAGGGGGATAACTCTTCAAGGACAGGACAAGGTCAAAAATTAGGACACATTCCGCTCTTACATATTGATACTAAAACATGAAGATAATGTCTACTTATACTGAGTATTCAGCCAATATATTTATATCTGTTATACATTCAAATTCACTGAATCTGAGGCTATTATGGGTCGGATACCTTAAATATTGCAGTATTTTTCCTTGCATCATGATAGGAAATTGACAAGTGCTGTTTACCCTTCAAACGAAGGCGGGAGACGTTTTCCGGCTTGAATAATTATGAGATAATATTCATAGCCTAGGGAATGCAAGGTTTTCAGACTTGATTTTTAAGAAAACCGATACTTAGTCATAAAATAAAATTACCATTTTTTAATTGACCATTAATTATAAAACCAAAGTATGGCATTATTAATATTAGTCATGTCATATTTTGAAAATTTTAAGGGGGGGGGGGCGTGCGCCCCCACGCCCCCCTTAAATCCGCCAGTAGGGGCAGGCCCCCTGAACCTCCTCTAAATCTGCCAGTGTTTTCTTTCATTATAAGGACTTGTAGAATAAGCGAAATACTCCAGACATTTAATAAAAATCTCAAACCCGATCTAAAACGCGTTTACAAAGTCAAACCAGACGGTTTTAGTTTTTAGGGCATTTTTACAGTGATATGAGAAAAGTCGGATAATTGCTGTTAATTTTAAGAAATAAAGTTCGGCATTTTTCAACCTCGTTCGGTATAATATAATTTACTGATAATTTTTTCCGTTAAGGAGGAACACATGAACGAAGGATAAAAAAAGCGGTATTCTGCATGTCCATGTACACATCATTGCTATAATTGCGTACTCGGGATTAAACCCAAAATCCTTCGTTACATTGTATTTGGGTATAATTTTCACATGTTCTCAGGCGGATAATCATTTATTTTTATCTGTCTAAAGACAATAATTTCAGTAAATAGAGAAATGTTTTTATTTCGTCGTTTTTTTCTCATCCTTTTTGTTTACACGTTTGCTTTGTACAAAAGCGTGTGTTCATATACCGCTGTTTCTACACGCTATCGATGTGATCAGGGAGAACATGATATCCTCCAGCAATTTACTTCTTATGAAAACACTTAATGAAAACATATTAGGTGAAAATATATATACCCGTTAGTATCTTAGAACCTTAGTACCGACCTATTTAATTGCAATGTCACCAACCGTAACGATCGCTGGCCAGGACTTTAATATAATTTATTACCGTTATTAAAACAACTCGTCAGCTGAGCGGACCTATGATTTAAACAGTAAAATAGGGAAATTCCAGAGTTCGAAGTGTATTTATTCTGGGCGCTCTTCCACATAAACAAATTAAACCGCATTTACGCGTACTTACATGCATGTACAAGTAATTCGTGTCATGGGTAAATTCAGTTTATTAGATGAAATAAAACAAATGCATAAGATTAATCTTCCTAAACAACACGTTTTTAAAACACAATATCTGATATAACTGACGGTATAAAATAACAAAGAAAATAACGGGTTTGTGTTTGTATTTAATTTGGAATGAGAACAAATCTTAACCTGTCAAATCACTTATAAAACATACTTCGTTTTCCAGACACTAATTGTCATGCGTAATCTTCACATGCACTGACCAAGAGGTCCCAATTTTGAAATGTATGGCTTCTCATTGCGTGAGTTTTGTCAACACATGTCGGAGTAGACTATCTAAGCCAATTGATTCCCAAAGAAAACTGCATAGGAAGGGTTTTTTTGGTACACTTTTGAACGGGTAAAATTCATTCGACGCTCGATAGAATTTTCAAATACAAGTGAAAGATTTAGGTTACTTGCGTCCGACCTAGTATTTTGTATGCAATAATATTGTAAGTTAGGAAGAAAATAATACAAACTCAAAAGTACTTAATTTTATTTTCGATTTTCCTGACAATTAAAAATGTGACCTCAACATACAATTATCGTGATAATTATATATATCCTGTTTAATGTTCATGAAAGAAATAGCAACTCGTTAAATAATATCAAAGAGAGATAAATAAACTGTTTCTTTACTACGCAAAGAAAGTGGTCTTTTCGGCATTCAAAATGCATTGAATTTGAAGTGAATAAGTGAAAGGCAGTTAAGACTAGCTGATTAAAACGAGCGAGTGGTAATTAAACAGTAAGACGAAATCATATGAAAGATTCGAAATTATTTTAAAGTACATTGTAATTTTCCACAAAGCGCAATTATCTCAACAATGCAATGTTTATAAGAATAAATATGCAACTTTCTTGTAATTCAGCGAATAAAATATAAATTGAAATGTACTAGCGACTTAATCAAAGATATGAAATAATCTGAAAGATTCAACATATTTATCCACTCATCACTTAGTTAAAATGTATTTGGAATGGCCATTCTATAGTTTGTTTTGTGTATGACCTTAGGTCGCTGGTTCACACGCCGATTGATCCTCGGTGACCTCCTTTGCCACGCGCTATCGAGGGAGGGGTTACATAATTGTAAGCACACAAGGTGAATGTAAAAGGCGTGTACTTACTGGCTGTGAATAGTCTATGTTTAAAGTTTTGTTTTATTTTCTAACTTTATTGTTTGTTTTTATATGATAAGAAGAAAAGGTTATCTCTTTTTTTCCCTGTTTAGTAGACTGGTTTATCCAAATTTGAAAACAAACGAAATAAAAGGGAAAGTTGTCAGTAAATAATCTGGAAATAAAGCACAAAATACTTCAAGAACTTGATTCTAAAGAATATTAGCATCTAATGTAGCAAGGTTTATTATTTATAGTAAGTTTATCTTAATTACACGCATAAAGAGCTCTTGTTTACTTGCTGAATGAAAACACTTACCTGTATATGTGTTATGCTTCTAGCTCATTTAGAACACAAGACTCAAACAAAATAACCTTTTCATGAGATTAATAAGATGTTAAAGAACAACTTTATTTGCGGCAGCTATTTCGAAATATTTACCGTTTTTGAGTTATAAAGCAAAAACTTTAAAGGGCCCCAGATCCCTAATTCTAGGGGCCAGACCCTTTTTAGTGGTGTCAAATGAAAGGCCTTAAAATTGTGCACAACTTTTATTCTACATGTTTTATCAAAATATTTTTAGTTTATAAGATAAAAAAGAAAATATGTGTAAATTTTCGGTCTTTTAGGCGTTCTAATTTTTGACCCCTCTCTAGCGCCATTTTGAATACAGAAATTGAAAAACAAAAACCGATGTGCACAACTTCAATGCTTCTATTATTTAAATTCGGTAAAATTTCTACTTCAGCTCTTGTAGTCTCTGAGCCTTTGTCTGGAAATGAAGCCCCCTAAATTTTCATTTAAAGGGAAATAACCCAAAAGCGGAAGTGGATTTTTGAAATGTTTGACAACATTCTGATAGAGTTTTGTAACGTCTATAAACCCTGCAAATTTGAGCAAAATCCGTTGAGAAATGAGCGAGATATGAGATCTCAAAGTTGGCGTCTAGGAAAAAAAAAAAAAAGAATAATAAGAATAATCTTAACCATCAGAATCAGTAGAAGGTCTTCCGCCTGGAGCGGAAGACCTTAATAATCTTAACCATCAGAATCAGTAGAAGGTCTTCCGCCTGGAGCGGAAGACCTTAACAAGAAGTTGGAAAATATGCTCTAGGCAGTTGCAAATCCCCTGTAACATCAACTTATTTGTCAATAGCCCATCTCAGTTTAGAAACTGATCATGGTGAAAACTTTTTTTAACTTCGCATAAAATGAAATCCTTGGTCTCAACAATTTAAGTTCAAAGGTCACAGCCAAGATTCAGATAGGAAAGAGATATAGATTAATGATTAAGGTGTCCTTTATTTTGAATTTGCTGTAGCTCCTGCTAAGTTTTGATTCACTCATGTTTTAAAACATTTTTGAAATTGTGTTTAATTCTACATCACTTATATAGACAAAAAATTTCCTAAATTCATTTTATTATCTTACAGGTCGTATCAGAAAGTGGTTCACTGTTGAGGAAGCACCCCAGTGGTTATCTCACAAACCAGTCCAAGTTAGCTACTTAGAACTCCTAAAGAAGGAAGGAGAAATGGTCTCATGACGTCATGTGGCCGTCTCAAGAGAGTAGAAATTATCTGTTCTCTTTTTATACCATCACTCTACTGATGTCTGTGGTACTATTTGAGATATTGATGCAGAGTTTTCATTGGAGGCCATTATTGATCAATACATGTCCTGTTTATTAGAATTAGTGTATAATTAATCAAATTGTTTCTGGTTCCTGAGATGAAATTGTTTATTTCCTTAACATAAACTACAAAAGTATACTTTTGGTAATTTAGCACATATCATCTTGAAGTCTGGTTGAAAAGTGTTTACAAATAACCATGTCAGAAATATATATATATTTTTTAAAATGTCAGGTGATTTTTTTTTAAAACATTCTTTTCATTGAAAATTTAATTGTAAATTCATTTAACAGTTGGTATTTATTGTTTGAGAGTTAATCTTGTGCATCGTCAAGCACTAAAATTATTGAATTATTGATAGTTGACACCTCCAGGAAATGTAATAAAGCTCTTCCTTGATGTGTGGTTGATGAGGTTGAAGTAGAGTGGTAAATAAATAATTTAAATAAATTACTTCTTGGGGAAAATAGTTGCTCTCTGGAGGTTTTCTAGAGGTTTTGCTTTATACAGACAGTAGGAAGGGTGTGAGAGTTATTAGCTGGTCTGTGATCAAACTTCAGTAGCCCACAGGGAATGGAAAATGGAGTAGTGCTTAGAAAATACAAGTGCTGGAGGGAAAAAACCCCCATCAGATTCCAAATTTTGTGATGGAGAATATAAACAGCTCCTTTTTTTAAGACTAAGACTTGTATAAGTAATGTATGGACTCATTGTGGTTTACATGACATTGATATAACTAGTAATTATTTGGACTATTGTACACAAACATTTTATTGTAACCATTTTGTAAAACATCCTAGTCAGTAAAAGCAGTTATTCCATATATGCTCAAGGATAGGCTTCCCAGTTTTGTAATATTAACATGTAATTCCCACTTGTCTTGTGATTTGCATTGGGGAAAAAAATCACCAAAAAAACCATTGTTTAATATTTTTATTTTTTAAAAAAAATAATGATTTTTGAAATTTGATTTTCATAAAAATGTTATATTTTAATTTTCTAGAAAAAAAAGTAAAAGGAAATGTTAATTGCTTCCATTATCATATTTCCACTCTTACTTGTTCTTCACTAATCTGTAATTTTTGTGTATTTGTGTAGTTGTGTATTTGTGTAGTTGTGTATTTGTGTACTTTGATTCAGAGTATAAAATCAATTTTTTTCTCCACTATACTGCTTTACTTTATGTTGCTATTATGATACAGATGTTTTTATTGTATCCTCAATTAGTTTTTGAGTATGTTTGTTTATAGTACTTGTGTTCTGTATTTTAGTGCACTGTACCCTCTGTTATACAATATTATATATACATTCCACGGATTGTCCCTCATTAGTAACACACAGTATTAAAAATGATACCATTTTGCATATGCCGGGTAATTTCTTTTTTTTTCGCCTAGAGAATTCCACTCCTTATATCCTTCATATTGTAAGGTTGTATATTCTGTATCGGTTTATTAGGTTACGTCTGATTTTAGCTTTTGATTCAGTGATGTATTTTTGCAATGATTGATTTGTTTTTGTATTACGAGTCTTCATGTTTTGTTTTTTGAAAAGCACATATCCCCCTCCTTCCTTAAACATGAAAATCAAAAGCGACAGATATTTCAAAAAAACATTTTAAACTTCATTTCCTCCCTTGCTATTCATCTTTTTGATGTATGTATTAACTATTTATTTGTATTTATTCTGCTTTGATTTTTTTTTATTTTTGAAGAAGTAATCTGATAATATATTACTGAGCAATTAGAATACCTGGTAAGTAATTTAACTTGATCATGTTTATGGTTGTGCTTCTTCTTAGTTTCTTGAAATGGTCCAGTTTGTCAAAATAAATTAGTGCTAAAAATCCAAGTTTAACATACTTTTTAATATCATATTTAGCACACAAGAATTTCCAAAGGATGCATTTTTTTTAAATGTATGTTTATTAAATTAAAAATATACAATTGTTTTAATAATGAAATTAAATTGATTAAACTTTGTGTTGTACACCTCACTGGGATGGTTTGAATAAGCATTTAAACGTAATATACTCATGGGCACATATTTTTACATTTTTTATGGAAGTTACTAATTTTTTTTTGGAAAATACATGTTCATCTAATGGGTAAATTCTTGGAGAATAAAATACGTATAAACTATACATCTATCAGGTTATAATGAATCGGAATAGATCTGCTTTCACATTGAAATGACAATAATCAGCATTTATGAAAAGAACTTGAGGGCACGAAAAGTGAGCCCATTTGATTACCCTGCTGTTGTTTATATTTTTTAGCGTTATCACTATACACTGTAGCTGTCAAGTATATTATTATTTGACACTTATTGTTCCTTATAGGTGAATGTATGTTATATAGGCATAGATAATCTCTGTTATTGTACAAGCATAGGTAAATTGTGCTACATAAGCATGAATAATCTTTGTTAAATTAGATAATCTTTGTTTTCTGAGCATTGATGCCTGATACTTAATTAAGGACATATATAAATCTCAGACACATGGGCATAAATAAATCTCAGTTACTATTTTTTGAGCAAAGATAATCTCTTGTACAAGCAAAGGGAAAAATTACTTCAAGCAGATTTAGATTTCTTATTATAGAAACATGCATGTATAAATCTTAATATAAGCAGAGATAATCTATTGTTATGTAAGCAGTGATATATTTCAGAGCATAGATAATTTCTTGTTATACAAGCATAGATAAATATATGACAATAATACCTTAAGTAATCTGTTACATGAACATGAAATCTAAAGAACATAGATGGTCTTTAACATGACCATTTAGATTGTCATTTATGTATGTCTGCAAACTGAGGGTCAGGGCATATATTGTTACCCTTTTCCATCATTCCGTTGTAGTTTTCCCGACATTTTTCTGTGATTGAAAATAATGAGCATAGTCATTGGTCAAGACCAGGAGACCTTATGCATGGATAAGGTGTCCATTGTCCATCTGTTTGTAATCTTTTTTTTTTCAAAATGTTACTCCTCCTTTAGTTTTGGTCTGATTTTGGTCAACAATAGACTGTACCAAGATACCACAGGCACTAGTTTCTGTAATAATCTTTTTTAACCCATAGTATAATGATAACACACATATTGTTATTTTTATTTTACTATGGGTTAAAAAAATTTTTACAGAAACAAGTGCCTGTGCAAGATACATATTTTTATACTTGGGTTTTTTGATTTAGACTTATGGTATTGCCATGGTTACTAAAAACAGAAATTTCTGAAATTCTACCTAAATGTTGTTCCTCCTATAGTCAATACGACTTGGTATGAAAGTAGACTTGACTAAGATACATAATTCTGTGTATTTGTTTTTTTGTTTTTGATTATGCCATATGATGTTACTAAATATAGAAATATCTTTGTATGTACAATTCTTTCAAAAGGCTACTCCTTCTACAATTTTAGTACAGTTTCAAATCTTTCAATAAGATTTGATACACAAATAGACTATACTCGAATTCTTTATATTGGTTTTTGATTTAAAAAAAAAAAGGATGTGAAGTTTACTAAAAATAGAAATTTCTGTGAATTTTTTTCAAAACATTACTCTACAGTTTAAGTTTCATTTCAGTAAGGTTTGGAACACAAGTAAACTATACTAAGACACATCTTCATTATACACACCAGCAGAGCCTCAGTCTTGTCCGAGACTTCTGATTGCTATGTTCTTTAGTTTCAATGTAGATGGACCCTTTTTCTCAATAGTTTGCCCTTATAGACTTTTTCAAAAAATATTAGAATGATTCATTCTGTGCTTGTAGATTTAATTATTGTTTTTTGGATTTTTTTCTGCTGTCCTTGTAGGTGATAAACTGATTTAAAGTTTGTACACATTTGATGACTTACAGGTTGCATTGTGATGGACCCATTTTCACCAGAGTTCCAATAGAAAATATTCAGTTTTCCTGACCTCCTCTGCTTATGTGCTTGTAGGTAATAAGTTGTGGTATGGACAACTTGTTTAAGGAAAAAAAAAAAGCAACAATTCATGCCAACCCTTAGTTAAACTTGCAGGAGCATTCATGTCTGACACATCTAGTCTTATTTTACATTTCCAAACAGAAAAATCATAAAACTATAATTATAATTTTAAATCATTACTATAGTTGTAATAAACATATGGCTGTAGTGATATATTTCTGAATAGTGAGAGCAGGAAAGCAAGAGTTTTTGAAATAATGGTGTTTTATTTGGTCAGTTCAGTATTACTTCATGAGGTGATGATATGTGTACTTCCTTTTCATTCTTTTTGGCTGATGTTTTTTCATTGAAAATCTAGCTACAAGTACCTGTTAAACTCTTACATCTTTTTTTTGTTTGTGATTATGTTTATTGAACACCTTGAACATTTTCTCTATCTGTATTTGTATAGGGCATAGAAAAACATTAAAACAGGAGATAATCTGAAACTTTAATATATGTGTAAACCTGCAACAAAATTGATCTCTTTGATATTAATATTGAAGTTAGTTTGTGTGACAGGGGAGATAATCCCAATCTGAAGCATGTGTTGGTGCTTGTTATGTTTTTCTTCCTTGTATGTTTATCATGAAGTTGTTGAAAATTGTATATTTTTTAAACAAAAGAATAAATAGTTTTAAAAATCTAAGACTCTTTTATTTTTTGTAATAGTCTATTTGTAAAAGCAAGGTCTGAGTAAAAAGTAAAAATCTTCCAGATGGAGTCCTGTTTATACAACCAATATGAATAGACATAAAGATGATAAACTTTTTTTTGATTTTTCTAGTTTTAAGAATATACTCCTCCCAGTTGATATTGAAGAAAAAAAATTGTGTTTAATTTCCAAATACACACTCATTATACCCCTCTCCAAGCAAATAAAATTTGGAAGTGTCCTGACCTTGGACCAAGTGCAAACAAAGTTTGGAAGTTGTGCCCTGACCTTGACCTAAGGTCAATCCATTAAGTTTAAGGTTACTGACAGAAAAAGTATAAAATTTTTGTCTGGGCTTCAACTCCTGAACAGAGAAATATTTGAAGTGCATACCTCATATGAAGATTGCATATGACCGGAAGGTGGTCATGACCTTGATCTAGGGTCATTTGGTCAAGTTCAAGGTCATTTTTACAAAAATGTTCAATTTCTGTCCAAACCGTATCTTGTAATGGAGAACATTAGAAGCTCATTGCTTCTGACTTATGGGTAAGTATTGACCTGACCAAAGGTCATTCCAGCAAGTTCACGGGCAGAAAAAAATTGTTTACTTGTCTCCAGTCCATAACTCTTTAATAGAGGCTAATTGGAAGTTGATACTAGATGCAAAGATTGTTTATGACTTAAGGATGTGTCATGATCTTGACCCAAGGGAACTTTTGCAAGGTCAAGTTTTCTGACAGAAAAAATGTTTTAATTCATGTTTGGTCTTCAACTTTCTCATGGGAAAAAATTTGAATTTCGTACACTTAACACAAATATTACTTATGTTGTAAAGGTGTGTCATGACCTTGACCCAAGGTCATTCCTGCAAGTTTAAGGTCTCTAGCAGAAAAAATGCATAATTTGTATCCAGTTCATGTAAGGTCCATAACTAATGGAGACACAATGAATGTCCACATTTCACTCAAAGATTTTATGACCAGAGGATGTCTTTTAATCAATCACCTTTCACTCAAAGATTTTATGACCAGAGATGTCTCTTAATCAAGGTCACTTTGGCAAGTTTAAGGTCACATCTTGAAAATTGTATACAGGCACTTTAAAAAACTGCACCAGGAGTTTTAATTTTGTTAGCTCGCTCACAGTACCTCTAGTTTTATTCAAGGTACTCCATTCCTCATGTTCCGAAAATCAGCAATTAAAAAACTTGAAAAGGCTCATAAGAAAGTAACTGAATTCACAAAGTAATGCACTGTATTTACCCATGTTCGTTTATCATTATAGTTAATCCTATTATATAGGAAAGATTTTCAAATATATTTTCAGAAAACGTAAATAAAATCCCCAATTATTTATTTTCTAATTGAAAATTGATAAATATATTGTAGGATGCATTAGGGGAAAAAATGCATTTTTCTTATATTTATGCTGTATTTTAGTTCTTCTTTTTAAAGTTACTTTAATCTATATTACCTGGGGATATTCTTACTTTATATTATTTTAAAATTAAATGGCTTTGCTGTTCTTGATGAGAAGATTTTTAAAGATATTTCCTATATATTCCTATGTATTAATTTGATTTCTGTTGTGGCCCCTCCCTACCCCCTCGGGTCATAATTTGAACAAACTTAATCTAACTGAGAATGCTTCCATATAAATATGACTAATCATGGCTTTGTTGATCTTGAGAAAAAGATTTTTCCAATCTATTCCTATGCAAACTTGAAACACCTATTGTGGCCCCACCCTACCCCAGGGGTCATGATTTGAACAAACTTGTATCTTCTCTATCTGAGGATGTTTCCACATAAGTTTCATCTTTTCTGGACAAGTGGTTCTTGAGATGTTCTTTAAAAGTCATTATTTTTTCATTTTTGCATGATCCTTTGAATTCCCTTTACCTAAGGATACTTTGTGGCAAGTTTGGTTGACAGTGTTTCCCAGTGTTTCTTGAGAAGAAGTCAAAAATGGGAAAAATCATGACGAAAATACCAGGTCACATCTTTAGCAAATAATGAGTGTACAAATTTTCAGAAAAAAATCCATGCAGTAGTCTCCAAGAAAATGTATGAACAAAATCATGTCTACAGAAAGACAGACAGATATGCTGATTCCAATATACCCCCTTAAACTTCATTTGTAGGGGGTATATAAAATATGAAATTCAGATATACATTGTATTTCAATAAGAGATCATTATTATAGAAGAGCAGTACCAATTAAAACAAACTAATACCTGTATATCTTAAAGTTTCAGCAAAATTTTAAAGTCTCTCTGAGGGTGAAAATATCACAATTCGTCCTGACAAATATATGTTTTTTCAACAGTGTACCAGAGAAGAACACCTATACACTTACATAATACTCATTTTTCCCTCCATTCTTCATTCACACCAAATATACAAAGATGCATTAATCAAGTGATTTTTGTGTTCTATTGAAAGCAATTTTGAAATTGTCCAGCAATTTTTTTGGCCTAAGTATAGGTACCAGTAATTAATGACATATTTAAACAGAGATTTGTTTGAGAAATTAAAATAAACAGAGATACATCAGCATTTACAAAATCTTACAACTAGGATTTGTCAATGTCTTTTTAAAATAAATATCATTTGTTTTGTAACTGATTAATACACTTGTACATGCAAATGAAATCCTACCATTTTTAGAAAAAAAAATCTTGATTCAACAATTTCATACATACATTAAATTTTTTTTATCACTATCAAAAATTTTACATTTGACATAGTGTATATCAATCAAATAAAATAACAACACAATATATAACCACTACCTGAAAACAGACAGTGAACAGTTCAAAACAATAAATAAAGATAACTCTATACAACAAACATAGCAGTTCGATATAAATAATTCTCATTTTCAAGTCTTAACCATCCTATCCCAATACCCAACTACATGTACATTTTAAAATGCCTTTTTTTTGTGAAGTAAATCATGAAATACACAAGGCATCAAAGTTTTTGTAAGATAGCACCTATCTCTTCTGGTCTCCATCGTGATGTTTGGTCATGTGATTTCCCTCTGAACTGGTGGTCTAACTTCACTATTGTTTTTAATACTCTCTACAAGCCAGAATATACCATCCTTGATTCCTTCCCTATTTTAAATAAAAAATATGCTCTAGTTAATAAATGACATCAAGTTTAATAACATACAGATGTCCAAATAAATATTCAAGTGAATAGGCATGTGCAAATCCTACATTGTTTACTGCAATATCTTAAATGAAAGGCCTCTTTACAAATTTATACCGAAAAATTACAATGTCTCGTCCAAATTTTTATTGATTTACTGTTTGAAAATGCAGGCTAATATAAACTACAGTGATAAATTTTGAAGCCACTTACCCTTTTAAAGCTGAGATGCCCATTATATTACAGTCTCTTCCCCCGTACTTCTCACTACTCTCAAAGAAGACCTGCTTTACACTTGGCACAGTCATACAGTCCTGAAAGTTAAAGAAAAGCAATTCAATAATGACTTCTATAGTTTTTGGACTATATTACAATATAGTACAACCAATATAACATGAACTACAATGGTGTACCTGTATCATTTCAACTCTAATTAAACATGTTTAAATCTATAAATTTCTGTTGTAATTCCTTCCACATTAAAGTGCACACTATGTTTAGTGTAAATTTGAAGAAAAAAAATACTTTGCATACAAATGTTGTTTTTCTTCTCAGCCAAAGTTATGGTGATTCTTACAGTTATATAAGTTAAAACCTCAGATATCTTGGAAGAAGAGAAATGAAAACTAAAACATGGTTTGTGATACAAAAAGTCAAGCTATTTATGTATATAGAAGCTGAACCAGAAGTTTCTGACAAGACTGTAGCTCTACTGGTTTGTACTTATAACAAAGGAAAAGTAGCACTTGGACCTGAATCTATGGCAAAAGCAATAAAAACAATAAAGATCCTTAGTTTAGGCTCTTTCTGTGGCAAGTTTAATTGCAATCAACTTAAACTGTAGGAGGAGTAGCGTTTTGAAAAGAATTTCACAGAAATTTCTATTTTTAGTAACCATGGCAACAAAATTGTTAGTTAAGTTTTCAAACTTAACTAATGTAGTCAAGAATATCTAGCAAAACCCCAGACAGACTTTATCACTTTATACACTTGATGTTAGGGAATGTTTTCCTTTACACAGAATTTATTTTACCTGCAGATCTTGCTTATTAGCCAGAACCAGTAAGGGTACCCCCTGTAATTGAGCATTGGACACCATTTTTTCTGTAAGAAAAAAAAAATGCAAGTTCTGAACCATTTAAGAACATACTTCAAATAAAAACTACAGATTTTACAGAAGTGACAAACCAAAGGCCTCTTTAGACTCCTCTATTCTGTCTGTGTCTGAAGAATCAACAATGTAGATCACACCATGAGATTCAGCAAAATACTGAAATAATACAATATATAATCCATCCAGTATCCAGTCTTTGATCCGGAAAACTATCAACATTAATATTTCATTGTTGTTAACCTTAGGAACTTTTTATAAATTTCTTGCATTTACATGTTTATGTCTAAGAAGTGCAAACAAGACATAACAACATTTTTTGAAGAAAATAGATCAGAAAAATACTAATAGACAATTTTTTTTTATATTTTTTTCCAAACCTGTATAACTTCCCCCCTCCCCTATCCCTAAATATTTAATCACATATAAATGTTTGTTTCCTCTTTCCCCCAACTACATACATCCCTTATCCCAACCCCCCAACCTTCTGCTGTTTTACTTGTTCTTGTAAACCCACCATTCACACTTCTACTTACTTTGTCCCACAGTGATTGTAGCTCTTCTTGGCCTCCAAGATCCCAGAAATTTAATCTCACATGCCCAATGTCTATCTTCCCAACTAGTAAAACACACACACACAAAAAAATGAAAATAAATAAAACACAGTGCTCATTTAAATTGATACATGTATCATACATATGAGTGAAAATGCAATTTTATAGCTTTTTACTAACTTAAGTTTATGTTTACCAATAATCTTTGAAAATGTTTTCTTTTTCTTTTATTTATTTATTTTATTTTTTGGGGGGAAGGGGGGGGGGGGCTTCCAATACAAAGTTTAGATTAAGCATTAATAATGATGGATCCTTCATGCAATACAAACTGTAAAGCATTTTATGCATAGAAAAATTTACGAGTAGATTTAAATAAACTATTAAGTGTGAACTGAAATAATGGTCACTTCTAGGAAATTCAAAGACAAAGAGAGATAACTTCTAAAAAAAAAAAAAAAAAAAAAAAATACATAAAGGTCATCTGTCACTAGGAATGTATTTTTCTCTTTACATTTTGATTATCAATTCATCCTTTTGTGTACCAATAAGATATTTTTCAACTTGTATTAAAAGATATTTAAGAAGTTTTACAAAAAGATGCACCCTTTAAAAAGGAAAAATCCATTAAGGTCTGGGAACAAAGAAAACTTGATTAATAATCCACTTAACCAAATGAAAAAAAAAAATCAACAGCATGCAATTTTCTTGAATTTTAACTTTAAAGATACCTGATGTTAAAAAAAATGTAATGAGTGTCTACTGCATGCATAGACCTCTTTATTTTAAATTGTACAAAGTATTTTTTAAATTCAAGAAGGCAGAAATACTGATAAAAGAATTATTTCTTTTTTTTGTGAAAAATTTTATTTGGACTCTCTTTTATCTATTCATTAAGCTTTATTCGCAAAATGAATTAAAAGAAAGTAACACTCTTTTGTTAGAGATGTACACTGAAAAGAAAATCTATTCCTCAGTAATTATGTCAATTAAGTCTGGCATCATCAAAGACAGGGAGAGTGAAAGCCCTCTCCAATTGCTTGGACTCTAGGCTATTATGACACCTGCACCCATATTAGTTATCAAAACACAACTTTAATCCCTTTCATATCTTAATCCTTTAAAATATTTAGTCATCACAAACACAACTTACACAGACCAATGAATCACAAATATTTCCAAGCTGAGATTTATGAAATGAACACCAAAATTATTTCATAGAATTCCAACGTTATTTTAAAAAATCTTCCCTCTCTCTCTCTCTCTCTCTTGCAAGAATTAATCAGTGCAGTTTTTAATTAAAGTTTTTTTTATATATATACTTACTGTTTAGACCTACAGTGGTTGTAATTTTGTTCAAGTTCATGCCCTGGTAGTTTTTTGTGAATTTTATTTTTGTTTGCTCAAGGTAAGTCTGGAAAAAAATAACACACATACTGCACATTTTCTGGGAGAATAAATATTTTTTAAAGAAAATAAGAATACTAGAATAGAAAATTTGAAACAAAAAATCATTCACTATGGCTTTTTAACGCAGCAACAGAAATTAAATTATTTATGCTTCTAATGTTTTGGTATTTATTGATAATTACAGAGTAGAATTTAATAATTAAACTTACAGTTTTCCCAGCATTGTCAAGACCCAAAATCAAAACATTACATTCATCCTTCTGAAACATGTACTTCCAAAGCCCAGATAGTAGGGTGTACATCTGAAAGCACAGACACAAACACTGGGTAACTTAAAAACGGCTTTTAAAAAATGCTTATTCTAATATGCTGAAAAGGAGCAATAGTCCATATCTTCTCTTTCTTTTATATTTCTTTTAATCAGAAAACAATTTGGAATGTTCAACTTAAACCACAAAAGATTTAGATAATTATTCATCTCTATTACTGTTTATCAACATCTTTCCAATATCTCATTAGGCCTACATGTATTTTCTTTCTTGAAATATTCTACACTATCACATTCTATTGTTTTTTTTTTAAGATTTATAAATAAATTCTTTCCGACTTCCATCCAGAGTGATACTACTATACTATGTTAATATTTCTACTAAACCAATTAGTGGTCAATACACAATATTCACGATTAAGGCTATAAGGCTACATTTATCATTACAAAGTTAATAAGGTAAGAATTGTCTGAAATGTAACACGGAGTAACAAGGAAATCTAAAGAGAATGAGAGTTTTTAGGACTATGTTGTTGTTGTTTTTAGTGACTCACACTGGCAATATCAATTAGAAAAATCTGTAATAGAGCCTAAACAGCTGTTGCAGTATTATGTACAATACCTGAATACAGGGCGGTATAGAAAATCAAGCGAATACCAACGATTACTTTTGTTTCCTAGAAAAACCGCGAGCTAACAATTAAATATTGGCATACCTTTCCTTTCAAGATACTACTCGAGAGAAGGAAAATAATAACTAAATATTTTTCATATTTCAGACTACAAAAGCAAAGGGCGCAGACATATTGAAAACACCCGGATGTAGCTACAAGGGCCAGTCACTCCTGTCCTAATCGACCAAATTCCAGAATTTTATGCACACTTCGTTGTTACGTATCTGACTGAAATTCATTTTCCGTTAAAATCTTAAGCAGTTTTATTTTTAAGCTTAGTCTCTGACGAAACGAGGTCCCCCTTCCCCAATCATTTTGCCAGTGTATACTTTTTACGATGAAACCACAGGTGCTTGGGGACAGCCCCCTATATATTTAGAGCCTCCCAAGTTATTTTTTATTTAGTTTTTAAGCATATGTTGATGTATATTGCTCTATAAAAATTCACAATTAAAGCGATATAAATATGTATAAAAAATATATATACCACTGGTATACATAGAGCTCTATGTATACCAGCTGTATATATTAAAAAATGTCACATGTCTAGAAATGATTGTATTACATAATTATTGTACAAATGATTGTATGATTTATGCATATCTTTACATTCTGGAATATTGTTTAATTGTAAGAACAATTGATGATTCTTGTATGATGTGCCTTTGCCAATTATATTGTAATTGTGTTTGCGCCAATAAATATTGTATTGTAAATTTTTTACACATAGTTAGCCTATATCGCGTTAATTGTAAATTTTAATAGAGCAATAAACATCAACATATGCTTTAAAAAAAATAAATCATGAAAAAAAAACTTGGGAAACACTAAATAAATATTGGGGGTGGGGGGGGGTTCCTGTCGATGAAACAAAGCAATTTACGATTGTGCCTTCTTTATAATTTTGCCAATATACCAGCAAGGCCGTAACTAGGCCCAATTTTTAAGTGAAAGGAGGTATCTTGGGACAACGTATTCCTCATGCAGCATACCCAGGACAGCACCCTGTTTATGGGCCCAGGGATGAGGGGGGGGGGGGGGGGCTCCCACCGGCCGGAAACTTTTGGGTTTTAGAAAGTTTTAGACAATTTCTAGGTTTATATAAGGCGAATCGGAAAAAAAAAATCAGCACCATCATGGCCATGCAGTGTCAACAATTAAACCAAAGAAATCAATTTTAAGACTTTTTACTGAATGTGAAGAAATGAATAAAATAATTATCTCAATAAGGTGCTGCTGACTTTCTATTAATAAAAAATAACCAATCAAAATTTTCTTCCTGCAATGGCCTGTTTACAACATGTTCAATATGACTTCATATTACAAATGACGAAATCATCTGGCAATATGGCGATTTTCGGAAAATACGTGCAGCATAATCGAAATGACACAGATAATTAGTTCAGATCAATACTTTCATTTATTTAAAAAAAAAAAAAATAGTGGGGTATTTGCCTCACTTGATTGACCAGTATATATTCTATTTCTTTCTTTCTTTTAGGTGGTGCCCCAAATTGAAATTGCTTCCTGGTCTCCGTAATCAGAATTTAAATTTTAAAAAATGCATGTTTTACAATGATAAAAAGTAAATAAAATTAATGCATTTGTAGAGGTTGTAGATCCTTTTTCCTGATTGATGTATATCTGTTTATGGGATAATGTCAAAATTTTCCTTTAAAAGATTTAAGAAAAAAAACTTGTTTTCATCTAGTTGTTTTGATAACGGTATTGTTATCCCTTAATTGACAGAGGTTTTCTTAACGGTGGTCATTTTCACACCTTAGCTCAAACATCAAAAGTTAATGGAGCGAGAAATGCCCATAAAGTCCACCCTTCGGAACCCCTCGTTTTGTTTTTTGAAAGTTCTGTATCAGACAAAAGCCATTTTTGGTCTGACGGTAGCTGAGTTACTCATGTCGGATTTATAGGGAAAAGTGCTTCAAAATACATAGTGCTATCTAAACCATTCTTCTTTGAGAAGTTGTAGTGTATAGACGTATTGGGTCATGGAAGGAAACTATTCACGAGAACTTTATTCGAACACATTTTCCGAGTATAGTGAAAACTATAGTCATCTACAAGATGGCGACACAGTAAACATTCAAACAGAAATGCAAGGAGGACAAATGTATATTTTTCCCAAGAATATGAAGGAAGAATTGCCTGATATCAATGAGCCAGGGACGTCGCTAGAAGAAGACCTTGAGTGCAACAGTTCAGAGGGTATGCAGTCTTCGGCGTTACAAGAACAGAACATTGTCAGTGATAACAGTAAAAAGTCTGGATCTAGGAGAAGGAAACGCCCAATTCCCAAAGGAAAACCCCCATACAGTTATATTGCACTAATCAGCATGGCGATATGCAATGCAGAGGATAGAAAAATGACTCTACACGACATATATAAATTCATTATGGACAAGTTTCCGTACTACAGGGACCATCCCAACGCCAAAGGATGGAAAGGGTCTATTCGTCACAATCTTGCTCTCAACGAGTGTTTCATTAAACTGTCACGTCGCAGTGGAATGAAGGGACATGACTGGGCTATCAATCCGGACTACGAGGATATGTTTGACCACGGCAGTTTTCTCCGACGACGCTACAGATTCAAAGATGGGACTCGGAAGAAATCTCGACTCGGCTCCACTCCCGGGACATTGAATACTTCTCTTCCTCACATGGATTACATGAACAATGAAAATGTCCCTAACCGTTCAGGAATTATCAAACAGTTTCACCAATCCAAACCATTCCATCAACTCATGGAGGCGAAACAAATGCCTCCAGTCACCCCGCTCTGGAACCCATTTGTGGAGAGATCGCCACCCCCACCTTATCCGGACCTCAAAAGCCCACCTTCCTACGCTAACACAAGCATGGAGTCCAACTCCCCGGTGTCAAATGCGGACGGACACCTTAACTCTTCCGGAAACAGCGCCTCTCCAGATACTCCGCGATTCCCTCCTCCAGCCTACAACCAAAACAACGGATTTTCCGGATTATGGACCCATGGCCAGAACTTCTCTGCAGGGTGTGCGTTTCCTGCCTTTACATTTCCACAAGCTTTAAATGAAAATACCCCTTATCCAATGAATGTCAATCCAGTCTGCCCCCCAACAATGTATCCCAAATTCTTCAACTCATGTCAAAATGTACCAGACACTGCTCAGTGGTCTTCGATATGAACGTGAATAAGTGGAATTCCAGGCTGTCGATTGGTTAATTAAAACTTCTTTTTTTTCACAGAAAAAGGTGCTATTCATTTTAACCAAATATTTTAAACTTTGCAAATGAGACACTTTTATATTGTAAATATGTTCTTTTATTGACGAGAAAAATAAATTCTTATATTTCTTTGATGTGTAGTAAAGTTCGTTTATTTGATAGAAAATATGTAAATATGAGTGGTGTTTAGACTGGATGTGTATATAATACGTATTGATAATATCGATTTGAGCCATTAACTTGGACTAATGAAAAGCTTTGAATGGTAATTCGTATGAAGTATCTTAGAGACTCAAGGCCCTGTATTACAAAAGGACTTTCCATACTTACAACTGAGTCTTAAAAAAATTACATACGTAGTTCTGAAATCTCGCTAACTTGGTAATTTTTTGAGATAAAACATAAAATTACATAACTGAATTAGACTTTGGTCTTGTAGTTGTAAGTTCTTTTGTATAACGTGGTCATTATGATTTTCCGGATAACTCTCAGTGGCAAAAATGATGAATATATAACAGATTGGGAACCAATCGCCCAAATGGGATATAATAGCCCGTTTAGGATATAAAATCCCAAATGGAATATTTTACAAGGCAAAAAAAAAAAAAAAAATAAAAATAAAAAATATTTTGGCCATAAATACTGTAAATCCACATAAATATAAACTGAATGCAATAACTTTTTGCGAGCAAGTTTTTCTATAACCCTAAAGTTTGTGAGATTGATCCCCAAGAAGGGAAGGATCTTCCGAGGGATCAATCTACTAAACAGTGGGGATACAGAAAAACTTGTTAACCAAAAGGTAAATGCTTTTCAACTGAGTATTTGATGCGGATTTATAATATTTATATCTAAATGAAAAATCTTCATTTTTTGCACTGTAAATTTATATCCCATTTGGGCGATTGGTCCCAACCTGTATAAAATTGAAAATTTGGTAGAACTAGTATATGCGACAGCCGCGAATGAAACAGCGATGATATTTTTTCTTCTATACTTGACATTATTGTGTTGTCCATCTTACTTGTGAATATGTCTGATTGGCTGCGAATGCACGAACGAGACAAAAAAAATGACGTTACATGCGCGCGTTACGAAGTCCGTGTATTTAAACACATTCTATTTGGTCTTTCCTCTTTTCATATTTTTTTTCGATTTTGTTATCAGTAAAATATAGATTACAAATAAAAAACAATTTTACATTTTCCAAAATATCTTATACGCTCTTCACAACTCATTGAACGCTTTTAAAAATAAACTTTGGCTGAAACCTCCGCGCAAATGGTCGCGTCAGTTTTTGCGTTTGTCGTTCTATTGCAGTTTTCAATAACTCAGTTGAGATATATTATATTTATTGGGATTAACAACATTTGAGGAAAAATCTATGAAATAATTACAATTAACAGATGTGATTTATCACTATGGTATCATTCTCTCTCATTGAAGCTTAAATGAGATCAAATATTTCGCGCTCCCTTTGGGAGACAATAAAATGGCTTTAAATATCAGCGTTGGTGAGGAGTCTGGTTACGGGATCTTCACGTCATTCAATGTTTTCACCATCCGGTAGACACTGTCATAGACTAGAGGGAATATCTATGAAAGTTCGAGAACTTATAAACGTGATTTTTAGATTTAATGAAATAATTTATAATTCCAGCATTAACCATGGAATGTCTAAACTGTAAATTTTACACACGCACCTTAGGTAGATAGTATATAAAGTTTTTGGGAGTATCATGTTCTTGTGTCATTTAAGGAAGGTAACACTATAAATTATGCATTTTTCTAAGCATCGAAATATCAATAAAAAAGTTCATCTGTCATGTGGAGTTCAAAGTAATTCAGAATCATTAAAATCGGCCCAAGAGCAAGGACTGTAGCATGGATGCTTAAACCTCTGCTCAAACCTAATCAAAATCAATAGATCAATCAACGCCTAAAGAAAAAAAAAGGAACCAAAATTTCATGTGTCTGCGATTAATTCATTTCTAAAAATCTATACACTCTGAAGCAGAGCATATCGCCTGCCAGGAATGGATTGGTTGCTGTGTTTGGATAATGACGTCAATTGCGCGGGAGCCTAGAAGAGCGATCGGGTTGTGGCAATAGATGACCAGTAGACTATTGTGATGCCGTGGTGTTAAAATGGCAGTGGATTTATTTAGACTGGTTCAGAATGGATGTACTGCAAGGCAGGTAGGTCTGAGAACTTCATTATAATTTGTCATCCGGAATACATCAGTCACTTTTTTTAAAATTAACAGATAGATACATTGCTATATACCTGAATCACTAGTAATAAAAATTGGTAAACAGAAGAGAAATTTTATTTAGTTTTATTTACAGTATAAGAAATGAATTCACCATTCATACAAATTACCTGCTCTTGCCCCAGAAGGTGCTGGCAAAATAGTTCTTGCTATATTTTTCTGCAAGAATTCTTTAGACAAATCACAATTATATAAGACAGAAAACATTTTCGTGTCAGTCTTCAGTATGATTCCAGAAGAAAATTAACGAGTGTATTTCAATTCTACAAATTTCGAGAAAAAAAATCATTATTACATTTCCGCAAAATAATATATAATTGTTACTGTATCTATGCACCATGTTTCCTCAATTTACATGTGTGTAGAGTGAAAAACTTGACATTCTATGTAGAGAATATGCAAAATATAAAAACACAAAGTTGCCAGGACTGAATTTAACGACTGTCCGGTTGGGTACAAATTTGGTAGCCGAACAGATATGCAAGATATTTTTAGTAACTTTCATGCAAATATTTGGAAAATATAAGACTAGTTCTACAGTTAGGGTGTCATTTTGTACTATATTTTTTTTGTGTGTGTGGAATCGTAAACAATATTTGCGGAATCGTAACTTATTTTTTTGCAGAAATTTTCGGAGCCGTGGTGCACCGAAATTAACACCCTGAGGTTTATATAAGTTTACTTGTTGGAGCTTTAAGATCTTTTTTCGATATTTAAGGTATTTTTTTTTCTCTACTTTTACTAATCGAGAACTCCTCAACTCTTCGATGAGACACATGTACATTAGAAATACTCAAAAAACTTGTAGGTATGCGATTGAAGATTGACTTTGAATATTACTTTTATTTTGAGCATAACGGATTGTTTCTTCATTCAAACTCATAACTAATACAAGTCAATCTATTCACAACAGATGACCACTACCAAATGGATATTAGGTAAAAACTGCGATGATTTGAACAAAGCATATCTTTGATATGAAAATGATTTTTAAAGTTTGATGATTAAAGTATAGTAGAACTAATTTTTGGTTGTGACATTTTCTTTGTTATTGTATGTGAGGTTTGGATGCGCAAAAAGAAGGAATTTCATGATTTTGAGGAACACTCGTGGATAAAATTAAACATCTGCCAGAATATCATTACCTTTTTAAATCATTCAATTATTCTTTGTATGTAATCGATCTGGAGAAGGTATCACTAGGATAAAACCTCCTACAATGACGTTATATATTTTTCTTATCACAAAAATTAATTTATTGGGAAGGGGGTTATATTTTTTGTGAAAAAAAAATATGTAACGTCAAGTTCCTTTGGTTTAAGAAAAATAAATAGTAGCTGGTGTATTGGTTTATACGAAAGTCTATTACTATTAGTATCAATAAAGAAAGGTTTTCAAGTGCTTCGACGTGCAACTTGGGCCTTTCTCTATATGACGACATTTTCTGTCATGCAAAGCTTTTCTGTGGTGCCCTGTCTGGTTGTCACAACGAATGGTGGAACTCAATCGTTAACTCCTTTGACATCAGACTTGGAGCAGAACTTTGTTGTCTCTGTGAAAAAGATCTTTTTTTCATTGTCCTAAGGCGAAAACCTGAAACACTCCGAACGGAACCTCAAGAGAGAGACTTTAAAAAACTGAATGTAAAATTATTAGTTTGTGCTTGCGCGCAGTACCAAGGGTTATGTGCGACGTACTCGCACATGTAAATTTGTTGCACGGACAATTGTGAGCGACATTGTACATGGAGTTGACATTATATCTGACACTTTATTTTTCTTTTGTTTGTATTAATGCTATATACATGAAATATGAACATAATCTAATGCGCTATTTTGTTCTACCTAAAATCTCTTTATAGAGGAAATAAGTTGAATGAATGAATGAGATCTTTTCTCTTAATTACGAGATAAATTTCTCGTAATTACGAGATTTTTCCTCTTAATTACGAGATAAATTTCTCGTAATTACGAGATCTGTTCTCTTAATTACGAGATAGTGTGGTCTATTTTTTTTTACTTGATACTACACTGTAGTTAATAGACTTTCGTAGGTTTATGATGTTTTCCAAATGCATGATGTTGGGTTTGGGAAAAGGAGTATACTTAGATTGCAGTATTATCTTACAGGGCGGAAATGGGGACGGTATTGACACCGGGCATATATAAAATTAAAATCATGATGAATTTTTCTGATATTGGACAAAGCCTGAGTTACAGATTTTTTTCTGTTACAGCGGAAACGGAATAAAAGTGGTCATTACAAACATTACACCAGATCTACGGACAATCAATCGTACCCATTAAGGGATGTTCGTTACTATGTGCCAGTTAAACTCTGGAATACCAACATTCCGTATATTCTCTGATCTTTTATTTGTACAGTTGTTTCATTATCTTATTATCAATAACAATGACTAAATTCAATATTTGATCTAGCACATAAAGTTATGACAAAAAATGATTGGAATGAACGTTTGTAATTCATGTTCAGAAACAGAAACAGTGATTTCCCCCGAGTCTTCCGTTCATTTATTCACTGAAAAAAAAACCTGCGACATAGTATAGTATATTTGAGGGGGACACGGCCCCGTGCCCCCCTCCCCGGTTCCTACGGCCATGCATTTAAAAAAAGTTCGTTCCAGACATTATCCCACATATATATCAAAAAATTAAGTATTACAGTAAACATGAAACCAAATTACGAGTTATTAGTTTCGCCCCTAGTATAGCATTATATAGAGCTATACATATAAACATTACTATATGTAACATACTTTAGCTTCCTGATCTATGTTTACCCAAAAGGAGATTATTCCTTTCCCCATATACATAAATTTAGGGTACGGTTCTAATTTTTATTGTTCAACAAATTCTCAACTTTTAATTTACATAAGTTTATTAATACAGGCAGCAATGACTATCTCGTCAAACGAATCTAGCTGATATTTAAAGGATAAATTTAATATTTTAATTTTCCTTTTTACAATATTTGTAATTTCTGTTTTGTTTTGTGTTTTCCTTTGCATAAAGACCTTCCCTAACTGTGCCAAAATAATTCCAATGTAATTAAAATCCTTCACGGTTTGTTTCTACTTGTACTTGAATACATTTTTTGGTACCAATATTTTGAGAAAATAATATTTTTATGCCCCCGTATCGAAGATTCGGGGGTATATAGTTTTTGCCCTGTCCGTCCGTCTGTCTGTCTGTTTGTCCGCAAAAACTTTAACCTTGCCCATAACTTTTGATTGGTTGGAGCTATGGCTTTTATATTTCACATGTGTATTCCCTGTGACAAGACCTTTCTTTGGGCACCATCGTATTTGACCTTGACCTTGGAGTTTGACCCAGTTTTGTAAAATTTTAACATTAACCTTGGCCATAACTTTTAATAATTGGTGTTAGGGCTTTCATACTTCATATGTGTAATCCTTGTGACAAGACCTTCCTTTGGATACCAATAACTTTGACCTTTTGACCTTGACCTAGGAATTTGACCTACTTTTGAAAAACTTTAATCTTGGCCATAACTTTTGAACGGTTAGTGCTAGGGCTTTTATACTTCACATGTGTAATCCTTGTGACAAGACCTTCCTTTGGATACAAACAACTTTTACCCTTTGACCTTGGAGTTTGACCTACTTTTGGAAAACTTTACCTTTGGCCATAACTTTTGAACGGTTGGTGCTAGGGCTTTCATACTTCAAATATTTAATCCTTGTGACAAGACCTTCCTTTGGATACAAACAACTTTGACCCTTTGACCTTGGAGTTTGACTTATTTTTGGAAAATTTTAACCTTGGTCGTAACTTTTGAACGATTGGTGCTTTGGCTTTCATATTTCACCTGTGTATTTCTTGGGAGAAGGCCTTTCCTTGGGCACCATTAATTTTGACCATTTGACCTTGATGTTTGACATACTTTTGAAAAAAAACTTTAACCTTTTCCATATCTATTCAATAGTTGCTGCCAGGGTTGTCAAATTTCACAGATATATTCCTCGAGACAAAACCTTACTTTGAGTACCAACATATTTGATTTGCATTTGAGAAAGTTTAACGTTTGCTATAAGTTGCCATACGGGGACATCAGTGTTTGCTTGGGGTGTTTGTTTTTGTTTTTTCTCTCATTTACACGAAGGTTTCATATTCTAAATTTTGTATTTACTCCCACCCGGTAAATTGAATTTCGAACACGTATATTCGAACGTATACGAGTTCGAAATACGTATATAGAAATTGTTGAGAGACACGTCCTACTCAAGGAAGACCTTCATTGGGGGAGAATTAGGTACTGCCTTCCCACAATTTTTTGTCATACAGAAAGTTTGGTTTTATGACTAGAAACGCTTTCCTCAAAAGCAACAAAGTACACCATGTTTACCCAGAATCTTTGAAAGGAAAACACCTTATAAATGTAAAACTCGCTCTATTTGTAATTCCACAGTTATATATTTACCAACAAAGAACTATTTTAAAAATAGGACAAACTATATCTTTGCAAACACGTTGAACAGCTATTTTTCATTTAAATTGTTGAAAAACGTAACGAAGAGATTCATCCATAGTACAAAACGGCCATCCCGTATAAATGATTGTGACAGAAGACTGGGAACTCAGGAACTCACCAATACCGTCAAAGGGAAATATTCCACTCTCCCCATTGTTAAATGTTCAATATGAACTTTGATTTCTTCAAGTGGAGGCTGGACACTTGTCACCCCCCCCCCCCATATTGCATTAGGAATTCTTTTTTCTTGAGAATTTGTCCCTTGTCCACTTAATTGAAGCGATTGTCCCGCAATGAGAATCAGATTTAGAGTAAAAATATAAACATTCTATAGAACATTCTACTTTTTATTTCATTTATTATATTGCCTTTTCCCAGTTAACGCTGGTTACAGAAAAGGGATCTGACGTCAACATTTCTAATGAGGAAAAAGAATCCCTGCTCATGTTTACTATGGCGAACTCCCGAGCCCCAGGAGAGAGGAAAGCAGAGCTAATCCGGGCACTTCTACAGCGGGGTGCTGACGTCAACGCCAGAAACGCCAAAGGACAGACGACTTTTATGTACGCTTGCATCATGAACCAAGTTAAACCGCTCAAAGTTCTCCTGGAACAGGTACCAGCTTTACAATGATAACTGATTTTTTACAATTCCCAAGGGTTACCCATTAGCTCCTCCCGATGAAGCCGAAAAGATCTTTGGTTATAGGAGGATGTATCAAAAATTTTGAACTTATTGCAAAATTCGCACCATGATAACTAGTTATCATGTAAAATTTACATTTGCCTCCACCCAGTAAATTCAAAATTTATACAACATGATAGTTGCATCTTCCCAAGAACTACTTCACATTTGTTCCAAGTTGTCTGGTTGTCAAATGCAGGACAAATCAAAATAAGTCACATGATATGGGTTCATGGATTGTTAGGGGTTCACGGATTGTTGTCAAACAAAGTTGTTCGGGAAACTTTACAAAATGTACACTAAATTGGCAAGGTGAATATTTCTTAGAAAATAAGTTTTGAAGTTGAAATTATTCATTTATGTAATAATATTAAAGTGTTTATATTATTGCAATTTTTTAACAGTTTTTTTAAAATCATTGAATGGTCATGAACTAACTCTTTGGTGGTCTAAATTTACCTTTTATCAGAAACTGCTATATTTTTAACACGTTTCAATTTCGAATCGACTTAGTTGGATTCGGTCGATATATCTGTTGTCCTTTGTATCCCCTTTTTTTTGTTCTTTGCTATTTTTAAATCCAAAGCCTTGTAATATTGATGAGTCCATATAAATACCACACAGTATGTGATATATCTGCCTAATAATGTACATTGTGTCTATATGCTACTGTAATACAAAGCGAGGCGATGTTAATCGAGAAACCAAAAGGTATTGATGATATGTAAAATTGATTGAATAAACTCTGCGTAAACAAAATGAACTGTAAGATCTACTTGAATTGATGCGAGTTTCAGGAAACTTGAAAAGAAGTGCATATTTTGTCCTAGCTAATACCGTACTCTGGCACGAGGCTAAACAAGCCATACTGCGTTTGAATTATTCGCTACAAAGAGAATTCACCATCACATTGGCTTACATATTAGAAATCATTTAAGATCTGTAAATCAATCGATGTGATACATAATGTATTTGAGTTTAAGGTTAAAAAAAGTTATGTATTTAAACATTTAAAATCCGTATTTAAAAATGCTTGGGATCTAATAATTACAACCAGAGGGAGCTATCAACCTCAAAGTACTTTAAACAATTCATTGTAATTAAGGCTATGATCGATCAATAGTTTCAAAAAAGGTTTTCCATTTTTTTCAACATTGTTCATGCATCAATTTGTAAACTCAAAAGCACAGAAAGACTCAATCCTATTGCTTCTAAACTAAAAAATAGAGATGCGTTTGGCGTTATCTTGAACAATAATGTGCAAATTGAGTGAATTGGTTTTGCAAGCCATAAAAAAAAGAAACAAAATGGGTGTGCGCTCATTTTTTAAATAACGATTTTCTTTCATAATTTTAAATTGTAAGTAATCATCTTAGCTAAAATGGAATTTAACAAAAATGATGATTGTATTGTAGGCAGATTTAAACGTGAATATCCAAGAACGAGATGGGAACACAGGCTTGATGTATGCATGCTCGATCGGAAACGAACAAGTTGTGGAAGTCTTGCTGGAAGCTCACCATCGGAAGAAAATCAATATACTTTTTGACCTTATGAACTCCAGAGGTCAGACAGCCTTGGACCGTGCACAATCCATGCACCGTGAAAAGATATTGAATGTATTTTCAAAATATTCAATTTCAACCGACAGCAGATTTAAACCGACATTTTTGAAACCCAAAAAGGAACCATTATCGAGGATCAAGAAACAAGATACAGGAGGAAAGTCGAAAAAGTCGAGTATGTCTTCGGTTTTGGCGGGCTCCGACACTGAGGATGAGCTAGAGGACTTCGGCAAACTTGTCCGCACTATGCGTGAATGCGCAGCGGAAGTTAAACAATTATGCTACGACCAGAATATTTCGTATGATAAAGGAAATCCGAAAACCCCAAAATTTCGCAAGAATAACAAAACAAACAGACCAAAAGTGGAGAACAAAACTTTCAATACACCACGCATAGAGATTCATCCCGATTCTGGCGGGTTAACAAACGAGCAGAAACATTCTGTTAAATCAGAGGCTGCAAACTCTTCTCAAAGTTCTCAATCAGCGAAAAAGGGAAACGGGAAAACTAGAGGTTTTAACCAAACACTCTCTCCGAAAGTTCCAAATTTAGAACTTCCAAGTAGAGAAGAAACACCTTGCGAAACGTCAGTATTACAAGAAAGTGCCATAGTTTCAAAGAGTAAAAGAAACCAATCCTTGACAAGACATAGTGCCAAATTTCGAGAATTTTCAGTGGATACTATGTTTTCGAAGGGGGAATCAGTCCATTTACATAATCGTGACACAAACGGTACCAATAGATCAGCCACAAGTCCGGCTGTATTGGAGTCAGCATTTAGGGACCCATGGTCCACATTCGGTGACCCACTCCCCGGAATAAATAACTCACAAAATTCCAAAAACACACTGTATTTACCTCCTCTTAATGGTACCCCGGGAGGAGAAAACAGTAAAAGTCGGGTAAAACCGGGAAAAGCCAAGAGCGCAGATAAAGACATTTGGCAGTTACGGGAAGGTCCACCAGCATCACGGGAAACTCAAGATCGCTAAAAAGGAAAGACAACATTGTAAATAGAAATTTCCAATTTAGGATTAGTAATTAGGTTTTAATTCTACATCAGTAATCAGGATCAATATTTTTATAGAAATAGCATAGCTACATATTGATTAGAAGGCAATCTTGAAGATAGCAAAAAATAATTTTCGGAAAAATATATTAGAAAATCAATTTCATTACACTTTTTGAATTGCTATGTATTTTATCCACCCGGCCAGTACCAGGATTCTAATCAATACGCTTCATTTGAAGAGAAAATAAAACAAGAGAGATTAATTACTAGTTAGGGTAGTTAAATGGGGTTCAATATTCAATGCAATTAAGAAGACGGCAAATAATAATTTCGGGAAGGTGCTATAATACGGGCTTAGCAGACGTCTTTCTTCAGTAGGTGTAAATTACCAGTTGATCTGGGTTTTTCAATAAATCTTTTATTTAGTATAGGAGCAGCGTTACTATTTCACAATTCAATACACGAATTTTCTGTTATCCAATTGATTGTTTCTTTGTTACGCAACATCTACTGTGTAATAAAAGCAAACATTATTTTCTTATTAATTCCAGGCATGTCCTGTTTGATCTACAGATACATGTAAATGTTTTAGTTGTTTATTCTTTACTTGTTATAATGACCTGCTTGTGGTTATTAATAAAATTGTAAACACTATTTTCAAATTTTCCTTTCGTACTCGAATAAACAGAGAAATTTAGTATCTAGAGCTGTAGTCCCTGTGTATGTACAGGGTGTTTCAGAAAACATGCAACCATTTTGATTGGTTTAATAAATTTTACTGGTGTTTCAACCAAAAACCATGCGCCAACATATCAAATTAAAAGTCACAATTTCAAGATTTATTCTTATGAAAATAAAGTTAATATGACAAATAGATAATGAATTACAAAAGAAAAAAGAAACTTGTAAATTTTCTCTTAGTTACAAAATATGTTCTAAATGGCGTCATTTTTGCTGAATGAATAAATCTATCCGATGCAAGAAAGTTCTCATTACTATTCCAGAGAGTCTCTTGGTAATGAATCAGGTCTCATTTTTCGAAGCATTTTGAGTTCATTTGTTTTTTTGTTTTTTTTTTTGGGGGGGGGTGTATTTTAAAAACTTTGAACTTTAAATATCCCCACAGATAAAAGTCAAGGGGTGTTAAGTCAGGTGAGTGTGGAGACCCAATTTAACGAATTTAAAAGAGTTGAATGGTCCTCCAAACATTTGTTCTAACAAGTCCAAGGTTTAAGATTCAAAACATATTTCAGCATCTGATCTACACTTGACTTTCTACACTTGCTCAATTTGTTCCCAAACTCAGTTATTTTACAAAAGGATTTCATGTGAGTCTCTGGAACAATGCCTCTTTTGTAACATTCTAAATGTTTTCATGTGTTCTAATTGTCTTTTTCTTCAATTTTTTTCTTTAAATTTCTTTGATAATGCATTAACTCTTCCATTAGCTGCAAAATTTTACAGATTAAATTATACAACTTCCACTTTATATTACTATTTTTAAGTTTTTTGCATTCTGTAAACCTAATCACAGGAACTTATGACATGCTCTGATAAAGCAGTATCGGAACTCCTAATGATTGCCTTTTATCAAATTCCACATTTAGAATGAAATTATCTGTTTTTTTTTCAGCGATGTCAAATATGACGTCATAATTAATTCAAATGGTAATTTTTTCCTAAATTTTTGTTATTAATAAAAATTTTGGCCCTTTTAGCATAATTTTATATAAAACTTTCATATGTTTCTGTTTGCATATAAATAAAGTGAGGAAAGTAAATGGTTGCATGTTTTCTGAAACACCCTGTACTTGTACTAAGTCGGTAAAGAATCATCCTGAATATACGCTTGCAAATTCCCTCATACTACTGTCAATATCAGTATTACTACACTGTGACCTATAATTCCCTCATACTACTGTCAATATCAGTATTACTACACTGTAGCCTATAATTCCCTCATACTACTGTCAATATCAGTATTACTACACTGTAGCCTATAATTCCCTCATACTACTGTCAATATCAGTATTACTACACTGTAGCCTATAATTCCCTCATACTACTGTCAACATCAGTATTACTACACTGTAGTCTATATAACTTTCTTACGACATTCACGAAGCGATTGACGGTCAAACATGATTTTTTTTCCCCACAACATTCCTTAATAGGTGAATTATTCTTTCTTGTAGGTCAGAATGTTATGGGGTAGAACTTTCTATCATTGATATTGTAATTAAATCCAAGTCAAGTATAAGAACAAAAATCGAAGCAAATTAAATCTCTTTGTTGAAATGACATCAGACTGTCTAGAATTTTTTTCAAGGGCCCTCCAGGGAATTTTTTCCAAAATTCTATACCCAAGTGACCTTGAAATTTTGGTATGAAATACTATAATTACCTCTACCTATTTTTTTTTTAAAGAAAATTAACTGATATTATGAAAAACCTTTTTGGGCACATTTAAATATTGGGAGTATTATAGATATTTACCCTGGTTAAGCAGTATTGCATCAGATTAATCATTTGGTAACAAGTTCTTCCTCACACTTTACTTACCACGTTTAATTACTAGTTCTAATTTTCTCGTATTTGTAATATATAAAAATCCCCTGCTCTTTTACATAAACACATTTTAATTAAATAACGGGTCTTTGACAGACGAAAAGACACCTGTATATAAGAAAACAGGATCTCGGTAGAAACGTAATTAGTGGGGCCTATAAGGATACACTTGATCCCTAAGTGTATTAAACATAGTACTGATTCAGCATATAAAAGAATTATGTGAGGTGTTGAACAAAGAGTGACTCCTCCAAATAATCGAACAGTTGTTAATTTAGTAACAAATCTAAACTTGGCAACATTGGAATAGGGACTCGAGCCTATCACCTTTTGAGAGCTTATCGCCAGCACGAAAAATTAACAGCAGCATGAGAATTCTAAGGGATAAAAAAGTGTTAAGAAATACTTGTATAAAATAAACGGAAGAAATATTTTTTGATATCACCTGAACAGTGCTGTGTCAAAAGGCTGCATTTGACGTCATTTTTGGCATCGATTCAAATCAACCGAGGCAAGCCAACTTTGTGACGTCATTATAAACCTCTGTACAAAATGTCGTCACAAAGTTGGCTAGGCTCACGGCGGGTTACACCAGTCAACAGAGGATGTTTACTCCTCCTAGGCACCTGATCCCACCTTTAGAATTTCCGGGGGTCTGTGTGTGTTTTATGCCCTATTCACAGTTTTGTGTTGTTTGTAGATTTTTTTTTAGATCGATCACTGTTTGTTATCTTCACCTGGTTAACGAATATGTTTGGTATCTATATAAAAAAAAGGGGGCATTATGCAGCCTGACCTAAGTTGCAGTGTTGACAAAGGGTTTAGAATTATAATACGCAAAAAATTGTAATATGAAATCAGTCACAAATGTAAATATAAGCAATAAGGTATTATCGGGATATAAATACATTCCATGAAGCTCTTCATGGTTTTCGAACACCGCGTTTTTAAGCTGAATCAATTCAACAAATTTCTTAAGAGATATCGATAGACGAATATTGTTTCTTATATATACAATGTCTGTATGAAGTTTTGATTCTTCATGTTTACGAGTCCATTAACTATTCCGTTCATAACAAGAATATTTAACGTAACCAAAAATGTAAGTGTGGACATGCATCTTTTCAAATATTTCAGAAAATGAATCAATTTGTTTTAAAATACTTATACATGAATGAGATAAATTATGTTCTTTTCAAGGCAATTTTAACAATAAAAAAGCTGGGTTTGGAAAAAAAAAATATATCTATCGTTCAATAGTTGAACCAAAGTCCTTCGTTTTATTGATTATATAACTGTAGCAATATCGAAGATGAAGCTGTCCTCAATATTGCACATGGCATTGTTAAACAAGACATAAGCCAGATGAAAACGGAAGAATATATATTTACAAAACTCTGATAATGTAAAATCGAATCAAAAGGATTTCCACATAGAGACTGTTTATTTTATAGTGATAGTATTTATTTTATTGCTGTTATACCGTGAATGAAAAAGTATTTCAATAAAAGTTGTTTTCAACTAATAAATCTGCAATGTATCTACCGCGTAACGATGCCTGTACATGTATATAAAAAAAAAGGGGGGGGAATCAAACAGTTCAGTAATACAGTCAACATGGGTCTCTGCTTATTCTTCTGGCAAAGCGTCCCCCTTATCGTTAATTCAAGATTAATTTATTTCTAATAAAACCTAATTTTATTAAAGACAACGAACATTTAAAAACAAGAGGCCTATGGGACACAAAGCTCACTTGAGTCACCTTAGCCGTTCTATTTTTTTTTTTTTTAGAAAATATTCTATACATATATTTGTTTTTCATTTTTTTTTCAATTTTTTAATTTTTGGGGCTCTAAATTCCCATTAAGAACTACTCGATATTGTGACGGATGTAAATTGATTAAGTAATATTATAAAGAGTCTACATTGACATAGAACTCAATTAATTATGCAACCACCAAGTTACTTTTTTGAAGAGTTTTTGTCTGGTATGAAACTAAAATTTAGCTTATATAAAGAATGATTATTACTTTCTATATCACAGAAAGTTAAATCGTAAATCATGTGTACTACTGGTGCAATTCTTGAACAAAAACTGCAAATGATGCCATTTAGCAATCAGTCTCAAAGATTTCCAGACATCGAACACCATCTCTGTTTAACATGGGAAGAAATTCTGTGGATTTTCTCCGGTGTTGCTTTAGACTGAATTCAATCAAAGCGCAATTAACGCTAATCTTTATATTACCCATGAGAGTGATGCGAGACAAATGATGGCAGCACTGTCGAGGGAAGGATCCAACATTTTTTTCAGATTTAAAATTAAAGCTTTAAAAGAACAATATAATATAAGGCCTTTCATTGGAGAGGGGGGGGGGGGGGCGTGATTTCAATTTCCTACGTGCTCAATGATAATAACGAGTTTAAAATGAAACATATAATTATAGAAAATAAACGAGTAAACGATAAACAAATTAAAATAAAAAGGAAATTAAATTCCATGTTTGAGTTTGTAACCCTTATTTTTTTTTTTTTCTAGAAAGTATAAGCGTATCACAGGTTACTAATTTTACCCCTATATATGGCAAGTAGTGCCATATAAAAACAGGTTTTTTCATAAATATGTCTTCGGATGTATACGGGGTGGAATGGGCTGATTTTAGGGCATAGATGGGAAGGAGAGTGTCTGGGGGAAAAGAATTAAAATTTCAAACATGGAGAAATATTGCCTTTGAATGCGTAGTAGGAAGGGTGTAAATAGGCCATGTTTACCTTCTTCTCAAGGGGTAAGTTAAATATGCAGGGTATGGGGTAACTCACGGTGTCTTAGAGGGACTTGTACACTATAGATTCTCCTTAGATTTAAAAATATTTTAAAGCTATAATAAAAAAGAAATCGCTAAATTTCAAGATAAATTTAATTAATTCTAAATAAAATTTAAATAAATTCCACATGCAAAAAGGTAGAAGAACGCGTGGTAGCAAAATCATATTGAGCATATTA